TAGCTCAGCTGGTAGAGCGGAGGACTGTAGAGGAACTGCTTCTAAAGGAATCCTTAGGTCGCTGGTTCGATTCCGGCTCGAAGGAGATGTGTTTTTTGTGATGGACCTGGCCGTCCGCTCTTTATAATTCAAGAGTGTGGTGTATTATCAGAAGATGTGGTCCATCCACCTCCACCGCAAAACGACGGAGAAATAAGGTGTCTGATTGTTATAGTATCTTACACTTGGCAATCGTCATTCTGAAGCATAAAATACCATATTTTCATATTGCAGAATAAATGTGCCGCTACCGTTCCTTTGGAAAGAACATCATTATTCTGCTTTTTAAAAAAAGATAAAGGAGGGGGAGAAAGATGGATTGGAGACTACTGTCCAGCCAGGCTAATAAAATAGAATTGTTGATGTATAGTTGCATTGCTTCCGAATATAGAATCAGCCCTTTAAGCAGCTGTTTTTACCACACCATCGATTTTTCATGGGTGACACTCTGGAATCTTTTTGTGGTACCCGCTCAGGCTTTCCAAGCAAAGGATGATTCTCGCCTTTTCCAGCTCCTTATCCACATCCCAAGCATGCTTTTATTAATTTCATTAATTGATTATTTTTTAGGAGCATGTTTACTAGGGATGACGCCAAATAAACCTTATTTCTGAGTAAACATGTGTATCATTGTACAAGTAATCCATTAAAACCGTATATGGTTTGGTTATTAATACCAATCAGTCTCGATGGAGAGCACAGGGGGCAAAACCTTGCAAGGCAGAAGTGGAGTGACCTAGTGGAGTGGGGCCCCAGATGAGGCAGATGAGGCAGAAAGACCCTGGATGGGGGACAGGTTGAGGTTTCCCAGGGGAATAAAGGTTTGCTTTTTGAGGCATTGTCTTTGTGATTTGTTTGTGTGGGTTTGAGGTCCTGCTACTGTTCCCAGGGCTGGATTAAGACCTTAAGAAGCCCTAAGCACTTAAAAGATTTTGGTGACCCCAAATATAGCTAATTCAAAATAGAAACAATAATAAACTGTAAAACAAATTTTTATTTTTTGAAATGAAACAAAACCTACAGTAAGATGGAAAATAATGTTTATTTTCTATACTTCCACTTTATTTATATTTGGGGGGAAAATCCCCTCCTTTTTCTAAATGCAAAGTCTTTGATCAGATCATCAAAAGTAATCTCAGGTGACACATCTGCTTGTATATCTAGTAGAGATAAAGCATCCACCCTGCTTTGTTGCAAGGTTGTTCAGTTGGGATTTTTATTATACTTCATCTGAGAAAAGGAGTGCTCAGCTGACCATTAAAGTTCAAAATCTGGCAATGGAAAATTTCTGTCATGCCCCCTCCTTCCCATGATGCCCTAAGCTTATTTTGCTTAATGGTTGGTCCGGCCCTGGCTGTTCCTCTCTCAGATGGATGACCTAGTCTGCGTGTGAGAAAGAAATCTATGATTAATGGATGATGGATAAAAAGAAAATTCCACCCCCTGCAGAATTTAGCCACCCCAAATATTTACTTTTGAATTCCCAAATTGGCATGCAATAAACCTAGTACAGTGGTACCTCTGGTTGCGGACACGATCCGTTCCGGGGTGCCATTCGCACCCTAAAAAGTCCATAACCAGAGTGGCGCTTCTGCACATGTGCAAAGCGCATTAGAGTGCTTCTGCGCATGTGTGAACCGTGCAGAACATGTGTGCGCGTGGCAAAACCTGGAAGTAAACACTTTCGGGTTTGCCGTATTCTTAACCCGAAAAAACACATGAAGCATTCGCAAGAAGAGGTATGACTGTATCTTGTCATCAATAGCACATTTATGCACATCTACATAGGAGAAGACCCCACTGTGTTCAATGTGACTTTCATAGGATCATAGAACTGTAGAGTTGGAAGGGACACCAAAGGCCATCTAGTCCAATCCCCTGCAAGGCTGAAATCTCAACAAAAGCATCCAAGACAGATGGCCATGCAACCTCTACTTAAAAACCACCAAGGAAGGAGAGCCCACAACCTCCTAAAGGAGACCGTTCCACTGCCAAAAAGCTCTTACTGTCAGAAAAAATTTCCTGATGTTGAGTCGGAATCTCCTTTCTTGTCCCAGTATATATAGGATTGTAGTCTACATCCACTTTGTCTCTTGAGTATGCAGATAGTAATATATTACACCCAGTGCTTTCTTTTCAAAAAAAAAAATATGTTTTGGGGGCACTCTCATTTTGACTCAAGAAAATCATCATTTTATAGTTCAAATCAGGGAAAATAAATGCAGTAAAAGGATAAAAGTACAAAGATTCACAAAATGTTTAGGGGTATGCGTACCCCTGCGTACCCCCAGAAAAAAAGCACTGATTACATCTGCATATAGGTTGACCTAACCCACAAAGGCACACACCTCCATTGTCCCCCAATGGCAGACGGATGCCAGCAATAACAGACATCTGTATGTACTGCAACGAGATTTCCTTTTCAGCATGCTTTATGTAGGCTGAGCACTGTAAACATGAGATTCTTGCAAAACGTACTTTACCAGCAGAGTTATCTGAAGAGTTTTGATTAGTTCCATTTTATCTGTCAATAACATAACCTACTAGCAGCATGCACAGTATGAAGGCAGGCACTACAGTTTGCTACAGTAAGTGTGATGGATATTTGGCTTAAACTTGTAGACATGATACGTACCGCTTGTACAGTTGTGTGATGAAGTATTGGCAAATAGCAGCACAGATGGCTTTGCCCTAAGATTAGGCCCCACATGCCAGACGTGATCTGGGAAATTGTCATTTTAAAAATAACTTCAGAGCGAGTGCCAAGATTTGAGAGATCCATGTGTCTAATAAACAGATAGAAACGCAGCATGGCCCGGTGCTGGAACTTAGTTATTGGGATTATCCTATGGCCATGGAACCCAGCAAGAATTATCACCTCGGCTCAGCCAATAAAAATGGCATGCACCTTCACCATTTTCCTGAGTACTTTAATCAGGGGGATGGGTTTAGGTTGCAAAAAAATTTTAAGTACTTAAAAAAAACCCTCTTCCAAAATAGCCACAGTTAGAGCTTGTCTACACAGAATATTACAAATTACGTCTCCCCCCACCCCAAGCAATGGGTGAGGTGGCACAGTGGTACTGAAGAGTCTTCTCCCCCTCTGGTTGCCTCAAAGGCAAGAATAACAAGCAGTTCGTATTTTATAGTCCTTTTTATTCAGTCATCTGGTTGCAAGACAAGAATCCATGTCTTGAGACGTTGGCTACTCTGAGCTCCACCTCTTCCGTCCCCAACAACACCCTGAGTGCCAATGGGAAGCCCTAGGAGTCCCATCCCTCTGCCTTTTTTATTCTAGAATGCGGAGGGACCGACGGGCCCATGGAGATGGAGGATCCCCCGTACTCTCCAGGGAGGTCTCTGCCGGCTGCACCTTCACCTCCCCTGCCTCCTCCATTATCTCGTAACTAGGCAATTCTTCCTTGAACAGTATAGCATATCTCTCTCTCTCTCTCTCTCTCTCTCTCTCTCTCTCTCTCTCTCTCCACCTGAAACTGCTGTAGACAAGGGGGCCCTGAAGCTTCTCCCTCCTCCTCCTCTTCAGAGGGAATCTTATCAGACTGAGTGCACACTTCCCAGTCTTCCTGTTCTGACCATTCCCTGCCACTGCCACTTGAAAAAGTCTTTCAAATTTCAGTGGCACTGTGTGTGAGGACCGAATTCTGTGCCCATCCCCCACCTCTTGCCTTCTGTTCTACTCAGCTTACTACATCAAAGTTGTGATTCTCCTGTGGCAACCCCTAGGCTCAGCTCCCATTGGGGTGCCTCTGCTCACATGTACAGGTAAGGGCATTGTTGCTTTAGAATGACATGTGCATAAATAATGTGCAAAATATCAAGCAAATTAAACTGTCAGCGAGGTGTTGAAACGAACCATGTGGTGGAAGTGTCAGATGGCCTATGATTTCGGGAGGCAAAGAGCACATACCGTAATGTAAGTTGTGGAAATGTAAGGCTTGATAGGAATTTATTTTTGTTAATGATGGATCGTTTTGTTAGGTATCTTAATTTATAAGAAACAATGAGACAAAGAATAAGAAGGTGATGGTAAATTCAATCTGCGAGACAGCTAATACTATTTCAGGTGAGAGGATCTGGGTCAAATGTAGACCTGATGATGAGGGTACAGCTGTATTACCTGAGTACTCTGCCTTTTTTTTTTAGTTCACTTGACGGGACAGACTTTGTTGGCTGTGTGCCCACGGAATAACCAAGAAACCCAATGAAGCCCTTTTTATTTGAAAATCCAGGAATCTTAGTTATGCCTTCATTTTCTCTTGAAATGTGCTCACAGCACTATATAATAACTGCACATTGTTTATGAGTTGCTTCCATTGCCCAGGTCTCTTTCTCCGATGTTGCATTTCTGTTGTTGTAGAGATGGCCATCTCCGTATGCACAAACACACACACACATATTATTTATTGTGCTAATGTCACTTGATTGAGGATTTTGAGGATATTATCCTATGCATCAAAAGTGTGATGGTGGCAATTCTTTTTACCATGCCAAAAGTTTCCTATCACTTTCTTTTCTTCTGTCACCTTGCTTTCCCCTGCTGCAGCGAAGCCTTGAAGAACCAGGCTGCATTCTCCAGTCAGCTTAACATTTTAGTTTTTTCCAGAAGGGTAAGTGCTGCATGTGTTGGTGGCAACTGTCCGTTTCTCCCCCTTCCTTCTTAAACGCAAGAATGTTGATCTCTCACCCCTGTGAGCCGTCACCTGTCTAAATCTGTCCTTGTGTCAGATGCATATATGGAGAAAGTGAGTATGGCAACCAGTGACGTTCTGCTTCTAAAATAGACCCAGCTCTCTTCACTCAGTTAAAACAATGTCCTCCAGGGAAAGATCCTCAAAGGACATTTGATCTCACAAGCTTTGGAATTCTTTTAAGGGACCTAACCCGGAAACCGCTCGGCAGCACCCTAACTCTGAGCCTATGCTCCTTGGAATCGCTAGGAGATGAGCACCTCTCTTAATTACAAGTCTTTTTCCAAAGAGCAGCAAACTATGGATAACTTGGAGAAGCAGCTTATTTGTCCCATATGCTTAGAGATGTTTACTAAGCCAGTGGTTATCCTCCCCTGTCAGCACAACCTCTGCAGAAAATGTGCCAACGATATCTTCCAGGTAGATCTATTAAACTTTTTAAAATTCCAATAAATGTTTATAAAACTTTCATGTTACAAAGGGGAGGGGTATCATTTAATAAACAGGATTCTCTTTAAAAGCAAAAAAATGAGAGAATTAACTAGGCACATGGGTTCTTTGTTATTTATTTTATGTGTGATTTTGAATCTGTTACATTTGTAAATGTCCCTTTTATTTATATAGGCTGAAATGTTATTTCAAGTATTTAGAGATATTAACACACATACCCATTCCTGTTGTTCCACAACACCTCTAAAAATGGCAAATTTCTCTCTAGCATAAGTTGTCATTATATTATTAGCTTCCAGGCTTGAGCAACATTATATTTGCAGCTATTTCTCTTTCTGTGTACTTTTTGGGCAGTATTTTTCCTGGTAGTTTGGCTCTGATGACCTGATCCAGGTCCCCTGAAGTCATCAGAGTCACTGCATCCAGGTATTAGATCATATCTTAAGCAGATAGTGTGAGATGGACCTTGTGATGTGGAAGTGAGAGCAGTTGTCAGAAATAACTGTGAAATAATGCATGCTTAGCTTTACAACTTTGTTTATTGTTTGGCAAGAACAGGCCTCGAACCCTTACCTGCCAACCAGAGGAGGCACAACTGTGGCATCAGGAGGTCGATTCCGCTGTCCATCTTGTAGACATGAAGTAGTTCTGGACAGGCATGGAGTGTATGGTCTTCAAAGGAACCTGTTGGTGGAAAATATAATTGATATTTACAAGCAGGAATCTACCAGGTAATGGACTGATTTTTGTCCTTGAAGGACTGCCTATGGATGCAGGTTGCTGACTTGGTTGTGTTTGCCACAGAAACACATGGATTGGATTCCCCAAGCCCCAAATTGAGACTTCTATCATAAAACTGAGCTATTGCTGCCCATTCCCTGTTAGAACCTCTTTCCCCTACACCATTCTTATTTTAATTCCTCAAGTCAACCTGGAGCTTTTATCTCCAGCTAGCTATAGAAAGAGAAAGCAATAGCAATGAGCAGTGCTTTTTTTCAGGGGGTACTCAAAACTACGCAGTACGGCACTTCTTTTTTTGTTGTTGTTAAAAAGTGTGGCACTTACTGTAACAACTTCATGGTAAAAAGGTAAAGGGATCCCTGACTGTTAGGTCCAGTCGCGGACGACTCTGGGGTTGCGGTGCTCATCTCGCTTTATTGGCCAGTGGAGCTGGCGTACAGCCTCCAGGTCATGTGGCCAGCATGACTAAGCTGCTTCTGGCAAACCAGAGCGGTGCACAGAAATGCTGTTTACCTTCCTGTTGGAGTGGTACCTATTTATCTACTTGCACTGTGTGCTTTCAAACTGCTAGGTTGGCAGGAGCAGGGACTGATCAACAGGAGCTTACCCCATTGCAGGGATTTGAACCGCTGACCTTCTGATCGGCAAGCCCTAGGTTCTGTGGTTTAGACCACAGCACCACCTGCGTTTAGAAAAAAAGCACTGGCAATGAGCACCATCAGCATCTGCTAAAGGTAGTGAGGCCCCACATCTCTGGTGGCTGCTCAGCTGCTGGTACTGGTTAGGATTTGCTTTGTATAAGAAGAAAGGTTTGCTCACTTTACCCTTTGATTAGGAGCTTCATTTTACAGTATTGGATGCCACACAAGCGTCTATTCTTATTGTATAATGCTAGCAGCTCTAATCTGTTGCTTTATAGGATTTCTTGGCATAAAGCAATATGTAGAAAGGTATTTACTCCTTGCATCTGAGAAATGAGCGTACAAATAATTCATCATGTCAGCAGTCTTTGCTCATGTACACACTCAAGAAAGTCCGTTGGTCTGTAGCCACAGAACTAAACGATGATGCATGCTATGGATCACCCACCAAATGGATCACCCACAAAATTTCTGCGTCCATTTCAGTTTCTTCCATATATCCACCATACGTTACAACATTCCAGCACTTTTAAAAATAAAACATCAGAATCTACTGCAATGAATTGCTGAATAAAATCCTTAAATATTTCCCCCGGTTATGTGTGTTTTTCCACATGACTACTTAGTTGCCAGGGTCCTTCTGTGTAGACTGGCCCAGAGAGCAGCTCAGCTTCTTCTCCTCTCCAGGTGAAAAAGAGGTGAAATGCACTTTTATACAGAAGGCATTTGAACAAGTGCCGCTTGCTTGACAAGCTATACTTGCTGATTTTGCTCTTCTACTTATGCAGCCACTGAAAGTGCGGAAGCTCTGCCCTGTTTTTTCACCAGGCCACTTTAGATGCAGGGGAGAGAAGAGCTTAACAGCTCCTCTCTGGGTCAGTCTACAGGAGCTCTGAAAGGACTTGGGCAATCAAGTAGTCATCATAGTGGGATGCATAAATGCACCCATAGCTGGAGGAAATGGTTTATTTATTTAGCTTTTTTTAAAAAAAAGACCATTCAACATGAAAAGAGCAAAGCTGAGTAGAGAAATAGAAAAGAAAAACACATCATATAAAAGCAATGTAATATCATTATCATCAAAACCAATATAAAACAAGATCCATGTGATCTCATTGCTTCCCACACAGCCATACTAACACTAACCTGGGAATGCCTGTTTGAAGAGAGTTTTTTTCAGCATATGCAGAAAGACCAAAATCTGGCTTCAAATCACTGCCCATACATGCACTGAAACCAACAGTTTTCTGTTGATGATTTACTGCAAGGACACACTCAAATCACTTAAAGCACTTGTCCACCTGCTTCCACAGCATCTTTCTCTAAGCTCTAGATCATGGGTAGGCAAACTAAGGCCCAGGGGCCAGATCCGGCCCAATTGCCTTCTAAATCCGGCCCATGGATGGTCCAGAAATCAGTGTGTCTTTAAATCAGTAGAATGTGTCCTTTTATTTAAAATGCATTTCTGGGTTATTTGTAAGGCCTGCCTGGTGTTTTTACATTAGTAGAATGTGTGCTTTAATTTAAAATGCATCTCTGGGTTATTTATGGGGCATAGGAATTCGTTCTTCTTCTTTTTTTCAAAATATGGTCCGGCCCCCTACAAGGTCTGAGGGACAATGGACCGGCCCCCTGCTGAAAAAGTTTGCTGACCCCTTCTCTAGATGCTGGCCTTGCCAAATCCTATTGCTTGCTCTCTCTCTCTGTTTTCATAATTTCTTTCACTGACATATTATGTGCATATTATGCCAATACCAAAACGATGTCAAACCAAAACTAGCAGCACAATTTTATACGTGTCTACTTGGAAGTAAGCTAGTCCCTGCTAACTGTGCACAGGACTGTAGCTTTAATGACGCGCATATCTTCTGGCTGCCTCTTCATGGAGCATTGCAGAAGAAGGGATGCTGTTTTGAAGAATAGAGAGCATCTCTTCAGTGACGTTTCTCTGGCTCTGTAGCACTATAATTGAAATCTGAATAGGTTCCCAGATATTATTGTGCAAAAGTCTTCCCTTGGGAAAAGGCTGTATGCCAGAAACTGAAGAGCTATGTTATTTCATATAATTGAGCCCGTTCCTTCTAGGATGGCAAGACAAGAGAGAGAGAGAGAGAGAGAGAGAGAGAGAGAGAGAGAGAGAGAGAGAGAGAAGGAGGGAGGGAGGGAGAGAACAGGTCTCTTGAACCTTTAACAGTTGTGTAGAAAAGGAAATTTCTGTCTTCTACACACAACTATTAAAAGTGCAGGAAGGAACTTTTTCTTTTCCCCCTTCGTTTGGTCTTCCTGGTTCCTTCTCCATCTTGACAGCTGGGCTATTATAATCTAAGAGAGTCCATAAGTTCAATACTGTTCAGCACTGATGTTTGGCTTGGAAGTCAATTTGGAACAGAGAAGCCATGGAAAGGGTTAAGCACCTATCGGCTCCCTCTGCCATTTCTCTGCTCTGCATCTCCCCCTCCCCCTTGCAACACACCCTGCTATTTTGCTTGGTAATTTAGAACAATTATCAAGTTTACATGTAGAACTCTTAAATTGCCCCCTTAAATTTTTCATACCTAATTTGATTACAGTACATATATGGAGCCTATCTTGGGACGCGGGTGGCGCTGTGGGTAAAAGCCTCAGCACCTAGGGCTTGCCGATCGAAAGGTCGGTGGTTCGAATCCCCGCAGTGGGGTGCACTCCCGTTGCTCGGTCCCAGCGCCTGCCAACCTAGCAGTTCGAAAGCACCCCAGGTGCAAGTAGATAATTAGGGACCGCTTTCTAGCGGGAAGGTAAACGGCGTTTCCGTGTGTGGCTCTGGCTCGTCAGAGCAGCGATGTCACGCTGGCCATGTGACCCGGAAGTGTCTCCGGACAGCGCTGGCCCCCAGCCTCTTGAGTGAGATGGGTGCACAACCCTAGAGTCTGTCAAGACTGGCCCGTACGGGCAGGGGTACCTTTACCTTACCTATGGAGCCTATCTTACTGTGCAAGTCTCATTCATTTCCTTCAGTTCCATTTAACCTTTAAGTGCTAGAAACCAGAACATGGGAACTTCTCTCTCTGAGTGCAGGATCAGTGTAGTCTAGGGGGAACCTATCGTTGTGTACATGGGTTGAATACCAATATAGAGTAAAAATGGGCATATTGTGAGAGGATTATACATACTGGATCTCTGAAAAACAGCCTCTGTAAACTTGTGCAAGGACTAAGTTTTAATTTATATATTTTTAAAATGTCGCTATATCTGTATTGTCCCTGTTATACCTAATTGCAAATTCAAATGTATCCCTATCGTGTTTTATGACTTCCTTGATATTGTATGTGGGCTGGAACTGGTCTGTGACCGAAATAATAAATTCATCATCAGTTGTGCAAGGAAACAGACAGGAATTCTTTGGGGGTGTTTATATTACCATCTGAGAGTGCAAGGAAGGTTTTTTGTGTGCACATTTCACAGCTCCTTCCCCCCCCAGCTGTTCACATCTGTATGGCTTCACCAATGTCAGATTGCATCCCTTCCAACATGAAGCTGCCCAAAACTGGGACACAGATTGCAGACTCTCAAAAGTGCCTTTTTGGGACATGGCACTCCAAAATGCATATTTTTTAGCACCATGCCCCAAAAAAGTACAGCCTGAAATTATGCAACATTCCAGTAGCCATTTTCTCAGGGCAGTTGACAGGCATGAGATTAGTGCAATACCAAGGGGCATTGGCGGGATGGGGATGTTTCTGCCCTGTGCAAAGGTATTCCTCTTCTTCTTTGGCAGTCACTCATAGCTGAATAAGATTGTCTTCCATGAATATGGTCTTAGTGGTGTGTCCATAGGCCAATTCTGGCTCTACATGTCCTTCCACAGTGGAGACATAGGTTTCTAGGCAGGAGTTGATCATGGTGAGGGTTTGCCAAATGTGCCTTCCTCTTAGCTTGTTTCTCCCTTTCGTCCTGAGTTCGAGTGTCTTCAAAGTCCATGACACCTTTGGTAAAGGCTGTTCTCCAACTGGAGCGCTCACAGGCCAGTGTTTCCCAATTGTCAGTGTTAATACTACATTCTTTAAGATTTGCCTTGAGAGAGTTTTTAAACCTCTTTTGTTGACCAGCAGCATTATGCTGATGTTCATACCTTGGCTAGATATGAATTAGGAATAACTCCAAGAAAGTTCAGGAATTTTGGATATGAATTTTGAATAATGTTGTGTAAACATGGGTTACAAACCCAGCACTGGAAAAACAGTAAGTGCACAGTAAATGGAAGTGTGAACCCAGCATGTTTTCAGATTTCCCTTCTCTGTTCCCCGTGTCACTCTTTTGTATCGTATTCTTCTGTTGGGGAAAGACCATTGTTTGTAGTAAAGTGTCATCATCATCATCATCATCTATTATTTATACCCTGCCCATCTTGCTGAGTTTCCCCAGCCACTCTGGGCGGTTCCCAACCAAGTGTTAAAATCAGTACAGCATTAAATATTAAAAACTTCCCTGAACAGGGCTGCCTTCAGATGACTTTTAAAGATAGGATAGCTGCTTATTTCCTTCACATCTGAAGGGAGGGCGTTCCACATGGTGGGCGCCACTACCGAGAAGGCCTTCTGTCTGGTTCCCACGTAACCTCACTTCTCGCAATGAGGGAACCGCCAGAAGGCCCTCAGCGCTGGATCTCAGCGTCTGGGCTGAACGATGGGGGTGGAGACCCTCCTTCAGGTATACAGGACTGAGGCCGTTGCATATAGAAAGTCCCAGATTCAGTACTTGGCATCATGACTAGGATCAGGTATCAGGGAGAGCTACCATAAGTCACAGTAGACAATATCAGGCATTTTGCCTATTTTATTTAATCATTTAATTTTTTAAAAAGTGATGCTGATTGGGATTTGGTTTTCTTCTTCTTCTTGGTGAAATGCATTCACAGGCCTGAAAGAAAAACTGAACAGCCAATGTGTGAAGAACATGAAGATGAGAAAATTAATATTTATTGCCTGAATTGTGAAGTGCCAACATGCTCAATGTGCAAAGTTTTTGGTGCTCATAAAGATTGTGAGGTTGCTCCCCTCACGAATGTTTACCAAAGACAGAAGGTAATTTTTTTTTTTAAAAAAAAGGCTTCCTCTTAATGCATTTTTATCAGTAGAATTCTAGTAGTTTTTGAAAACAAATAACCATAATAAAATTCTCTCCCTGGTGAGGTCCTCCACCAATGTTGCGGGATTGCAGTATGATTGTCCCAGCTGAAAAACCCAGTCAGAACTGTATACAATTGATTATGTGTGATGTGAAACTCAAAATGGAAGGGCCCTACCAAGGTCATCTTGTTGAAGTCCTGTGCCCTGATAGGGTCTTTTTGACTTTTCTAAATTTACCCAGCCTTTTGTTAATACTGGTACATGCATTACAACCAACATATTAATTAGCCTGTGACATGGAAACCTTCCTTACCAATGCAAATTGATAACACAGCCAGGAATGTGAGGCGCTGACAAGTCCAAATGGTGACTTGGGCAGCTTTCATACACTATGGCCATGTGGCTATGTGGAAGAATTTATCAGCGTTCCCCCCAGAGCTGCCACAGTGTATGAAATAAACATGCCTTCTTTCTTTTTCTCATTTGTTCTGCCAAACAAAACTCCTTATTTTCAGACCTAGCTCTAGGCTTTGGGGGTTCCCCAGCAAAATGTACTTTGGTGAGCCCCCTTCTACCTCGGTGGGTTTTCTTGGTGACATAGGCTTTTATTCATGGTCATGGCAGGTAGCAGTGTTCCAATGAAACTGCCATTTTAATTTCCCACAATGCCCCTGAACGTAGCGTTGCTCTGGTGCATTGGAGGAAATTTAACTGATCGATTCCAGATTCCCACTGTGGAAAGTGACCATTTTAAATGCCCCCGAACAAAAAAGTGGTGTCTTAGTAGCAGCCTGACGTAGTTGTGTGCTAACACCAGCCCCAGTTATTAACTTTATGATTATTATTGTTGTTGTTCTCCTCTCAAACCTTACCAGTTTGTTGTTTTCTTTAAAATATAGTGACCAAATGTGCACAATATTTGACCAAAGACACATATCCTAGAGCCGAGAAAGAGGACATACTACTTTTTATGAATCAGTAAATTCATGCATACTTTTCAATTAATAAGGAAATGTTTTGTTTTGCAAGTAATTTCTTGAGTATGGAACAGAAAGGCTGGGCTATGCTTCTAGAATCCTTTCCTGCCATCTGTACAATATCTCTTTATTTTTAACTCGGCATTCACTAAACAGCTGTTTATTTGGACTATCCTCTGGAGAAATGCAGCTCAATTTCTTGAGAGTCCTAGTGTGGCTGCCACTAGACAGAGCCAGTTTACAAGTACAGCCTTTGAATGGAACCCATAATTATATTTATTTGTGAACACTATGGCTGGGTAGATGCATTTGGGGGTGGGGACATCCAATTGAATACACTGGAAGCTGTCCATGGCTTTCTCCTTTCTGAGATAATTAGAAAGAAATGATGTTTAACAAAGATATCTGTGAAATCCATGAATATGCATACCAATGATTATATATCTGCTAGAGATAATGTAAAACCTATATATGCGTCTCCTCCCAAATTGCAAAATTTAGGCGGTGGTTCAAATACTTTGTATTCAAAGCAAAAATCCCTGCAAAACTGAGCAATTCAGATAGGCTGGAATAACCTTTCAAGAAGCAGTCTAGAAATAATTTCAGAAGGATAAAATAAAATCCTGCCAATCAAATTTTAATCCTGTTCCTATTGGAACAAGATCCTTTAATGAAATAAGTTGTGGTGCAGATTAGCTTCATCTATTGCAAAAGTATATTTTGAAGTATTTTCATCTCTTTGGGGTTTTCAAAAGTAGAATTTATTGTATGTTCCTATAGTAAAGTATGTACATTTCCCCAAAAAAATATTTGTGTGGGAGGGAGAGGCAGATGTCGTTCCAAAAATGCAAGCAATAAGGCCACAGAGTTTTATGCTCTCCTTAAGTTATGTTTATTTTACATTATAGTCTGAACTCAGCGATGGCATTGCTGTATTAGTGGGAAGTAATGACAGGGTGCAAGGAATTGTAACTCAGTTGGAAGAAGCCTGCAGGACAGTTGAGGTAAGAAACACAATTTAGATTCTACCAAACTAAATTCTGCTTTAGAATTCTAATTATTGCATACTTACATTGTTATAGTCTGTGGTAAGAGCAAACAACTTCGATGATGGTGCAGTTTTAAATGTCTCATTTGAGATTTTTAATCTAATTTACTCTAAGAGGTGTGACTGGAGAAACATACAGTTTTCAAGATGCACAGAGCTCAAAAGCACAATCTATACCATAAAGAGCACCATCTTAACCATTTTTAAATGGATCATGTCTTCTCTTGGGGCCAACATGGTGAATGCTTCGTCCAGATTATGCTACCAGCAGAAGCCAGGAATAACAAAGGTGTCCCATGACAGAAGAGCCTGTCAACCTTACAGCGTAGGCAATGGATATGTTTAGTAAACAAACCCAGATGACTCAAGCAAGTGCACTGGGCCACACCCACTATGAAGGGAATGAAGAGTGCAGTCACCAGCTAATGCACTGAAAGTTTCAATCCACCATTATAAATTTCTAGCCCACTGTAAGGTTGCAGGGCAGGTTGCAACAATTTAAAATTTGGTATTAAAAACAGTTTAAAACAAATGGTTGGAACCTGTCTGTCTCAAGAGACAATGGAGTGCGCCTCTGGGGATGAAGTCAAACCATTGTGTTAGCAGCACTGAAGAGACCTCCCTGGGGTGCAAGTCTGAGCAGTGCGTATGGAGGTCCTAGGCTGCCCAGACGACAAGACCCACCTCCCTCAGCTTCGTTAAAGGAAAGCAGAGCAATATGTTTGGCACCAGCTTGGCTGCAGGAATTGCTGGTGTCATCCAACTGTCTTAGGGACTCCATTCCAGATTTGTGTAGGGTTTACTCCTTGGTCTTTTCTTCTCCCAAACAGATCCCGCAAGGCAATGGAGGTTTAGGTTCAGAGTTTTCATTCTCCTAGATGGGCTGCATTCCCAGGTTGATGGGCCCCATTTACCCCTCAGTTCCCTCTACAGCACATGCAGAAACCGCCTTCATAACTGTTGGACCCACTATGGGTCTTGTCTAGTCAATCCATTGGAGCCTGTCCTCACATGGAGGGGAAGTCCCTAACTCACCAAGGGTTTGAGACCCATTCGCTACCCTCATCTGGTTTAGCCAACCAGCTGAGGCCATTTCCCATGCTGTAGCTGTTGTTACTTGCTGACAGCTTTTAGGAGCCACAGGTGAGAGCTGAGTGCAGGGTGGGGACCAAAGGGGGACAAACTACCCAGAATAAACATGACGTGTCCACCACCAAAGTTACCACCCCTTCCCTAACACCCCATGCGCCCCTTAAAGCAAATTACAGCCACAGGAATAGGGTGGGTCATGGGAATATACATTTCAGGTGTGAAAGGCTAGGGTAAAGAGCCAATTCACAGTAACTGATAGCTTCCTACAAGTAAAAAAGTTAAAGGGTCAGCTCCCCCTGTCAACAGTTGACATCCACTGGGAGAGAATGTGTTGACCGGGTAGGAAAGACTTACATCACCATTCTCACCCATGTGGTAATAATATTTACATGGAAGTAGTTTTCATGCAAAGGCCTACCTAGCCCTTATGATGGATGAGGTGAGCAACAGCAACCTTGCACTCAGTCCCAGGTGGTTTGGAGCCACCAACTGTATTTCCTACAATGCTGCTAATGTAGTGTCCATCTGGGACATTGTGAGAAATATAAGGGTGGCTCCAATGAGGGCTGACTCCAGGTTTGAAGGAGCAATAATCAATGCACTCAAGGCTAGCCTAATGCATTTTGTCACTTGAGGCAAAACAGAAAATGGGTCTCCCTGCCGCCACCTAAGGTGACCAGAGGCAGCTGAGGGAAGCCCTGGCTCATGGAAGGTGACAGAGGAGAAGAAAGGAGGCCAAAGAGGAGCAGGTGGCAGCAGCAGCAGCCCCATTCTTCCCAGGGCCAGGCAGTGGCCACAGGTGAGAAGTGCAGGAGGAGGTGAGTGGCACACTTCTCGGGGGCCTGGTTCTGCCACCCACCCAGCTGTCCCCTGCCTGCCACCTGAGGAGCCTGTGTCATTGAGGGCAGACAGGCCTCAGTTCACTAGTGGATTTGTCAGGGGAGTGCTAAGGCTGCAGAGGTTTACTAGAGATGGCTGAGTGCTTGCTAAAAATAAGCTAACAGGCAAACAAGAGCAAATTCTCAAGTCCAATTTCCAATTTGAAATTGGACGACATAATGAAAATGTGTGTATGCTTTCCCATTGCAGAATGAAGCCTTTCTCAAAGGGTTACTTGCCTGCTGTTGCCAGACCTACATGACCTTGGTTAATGACCTGCCGCTTGCCGCCATTTTACTTCAGGATCCTTAACTCCCATGAGGGTCAATTAGAGAGTGTCAGTGCATAATTGGAACACCACGTGGTTCGCTGACTCTGCATACTTATTCCGGATAGGTCAGAAAGGGCATCTGAAACCTGCCACTCCTCTCATGACATTTTTCAGACACAAGAAGAGGCATTTCTCTTTCAAGATACAATCTTAAGATCAAATGTAGGCCCTCCCCTTCCCCCCATTTTCTTCCCCACCCCGTAAAGAAATGGTACAGGCTGCAGTCTCCAGCTGGAAATTGGAAAGAGGGAGGGTGCATTTTAACTTCTTTTTTCTCCTTTGGCATCCCACCTCTAAATCAGCTGTCCTCCAGATGATTATTGTCTTATGTGAGCAAAGCACCAAAAGTTACTTGGGGGACAAATTTGTAGGGAGAAGATTGAGGAGAGGACTGAAGTTGCTCCTTTCCCTGCCCCCATCAGTCCATCATGTGTCGTCTAAACCTCAGAAAGCAATGCTGACCATGTTCTAGACCAGAGCTTTCCAAACTGTGTGTTGTGACACGTTAGTGTGTCGGCTGCAGTGTACAGGTGTGTCGTGCAATATGTGTCTGTATCTCTTATAAGGGGTTATTTGAGCTCCAGTTTGCTAGCAAAACTGAATTGCTGGGTCAAAAAATGATGCATGTTTAAAAATTGTGTCACCAACATGAAAATTTTGGAAAGCTCTGTTCAAGACCATGGTACTTCTGCCTGTGAAAGTAGGCTGGACCGGCAAGTCCTGCTATCTTTAGCTATAAGGAGTTGACTTGTGACAAGTATAGAAAGCTAAAGATAGCAGGAATGCAAGGAATGGATACTGATAGTTAAGAGTGTGAAGCATGTAGACCAGGGATGGGGAACCATAGCCCAGGTGTGAAAAGTGCCCCCCAGGCCTATTATCTGGTCTTCAGGACCTTCTGCAGGCCATGCCCCCTCTGGAGACCCCTCCATGCCATCCTCAAGTGCCTTTGCCTGACTGGAATGTGTTTTTGAATTGTCATAATGCCTCTTGCTTGCTTGCCTGGAGGGAGAGAAGTGTGTGTGTGTAGAAACCTCTGCTTTTCCATGTAGCCTACTATATAAAGCTAAGATTCGCACTTGTTACTTGTTACCCACTTGTCTTGCCTCTGGCCCCAACAGCATCAGCTGGTGCCCATTGGGGCTGGTGGGGTGGAAGGCAGGGAGCCAGAGCCAATAACAAGTAGAGCCAACTAGTGTGTGTGTGTGTGTGTGTGTGTGTGTGTGTGTGTGTGTAGGACTACATTTTCTCATGGACAACCCCAGTGGAGGTTGGCCAATTAGGGCCTATGGGGCACTGCCCCACCAGTCTGCCCTCAGCTTGCCTCCATGTAGGCTCACAAGATCATCATCATTCTCATTCATTTATTTTTCTGCCATTTGTTATGTGCCCAGAATGGCTCACAACAAATCAAATGAATAATAAATATAATTTCTTTAAAAATGTGCCTGGACGTGCCTCTGGAAAAGAGCACAGACAGGGACTGAAGGCAACCAACCTCTTGTATTTTTGTACCCAGCACCTGATATTCAGAAAGATTCTTCCTTTGAGCATAGTATTTCTGTATATCTAATATGATTAAATAAAACCACAGGAGAAATGGGCAGGAGAAACTGCAGCTGTCTCAGGGAAGGGAAAGATAGAGAACAGTTCTCTGGGTTGTAGCCCAGCAACTCTTTCCACAGGAGGCATTAGACAGGAGTAGTAGGACTTATGCCACAAATAATGCTGTGAATTTGTCTTGAAACCTCAAGCGCCTTTCATGAAGTTCTTGCAAAATATTTGCATCACTAATGTTAACAAACCGACAAATAAAAACACATGATGGGCAACTGGAGCTTGCAGAGAAACCCATCTTAGATTGAGGTCCAAACTAGGTGTGATACAAAACATCTCAGAACATAATCTGCTTTGTTAAAAAAATGAAGACCACATGAGGCCTGAATGGGATCGGGACCATAGCATTGGGAGAGTAGGTAAATCCTTTCCTCCCATACTCTCTTTGCATTTAAAATACCCTTCCCAAAGCTGCCATCTGTCCCTCAATGGGAAACGTATGATTATACTAAAGAAAATCTTATGATCTCCATATACAGTGGACACTCGGTTTGCGAATGTGATCTGTGCGGGATGCACGTTCGCAACCCACAGCTGCGCGTCTGCGCACGTGCGGGTTGCAATTTAGCACTTCTGCGCATGAGTGACCACCAAAACCCATAAACCGTTCCAGTACTTCCGGGTTTCAGTGGTCCTTAACCCGAAAAAACGCAACCTGAAGCATCTGTAACTGTATGACTGTAGTGTTCAGGAGGACTCATCTTATTCTGCATTCCTCCTGAAAGCTATCCAGTCCCAACCATCTAGGACAGGAAAGGCAGAGGCACGCGATACAGGAGTGGAGGAACAATACAATTCAGTTCACATTTAAAGGTGAACCTCCCTGTTTTGTACTTTCCAAAACAAGAAGCAAGTCCACACACAGCCATCCTTCAAAATTTGCATTTATCTGAATTTTGCAGTGCACTCATCAAGCCAAGTCGTGTATACAATAATGCATATACTAGTGGAAAGTGTGAACATAAATGCATACACTACTGAAAATAACACAGAGAATGCATTATATCACGGGAAATTGCTTACAGAAATGGATATCTCTCTCTCTATGCTATATTTGCGCCAGTTTGTCATCGCGGTGTTATCATTTGCTGGTTTCCAAGATTCTAAAGGCAGGAATGGGGGGGAGAGAGAGAGAGAGGAGGAGAATAGGCAGGAAGAATAATAAATTATTTAGTTGGTTGGGGAGTTTCGCCTTGGTTGGCAAAACAAGGGTTGTTATCTGTGTGACAGTTTTAGTTCTCTGATGATTGAGGGAGTGGGGATAAAGTAAGAATCGGAGAAGGGGCTAGTGGAATTGGGTGGGGTTAAGGTGGCATGTGGAGGAATGAGGGAAATATGAAAGTGTGTGAGACAGTTTTAGAGTTCTGGTGACAGCTGAATAAAGTTGGAGAGGAGGACTAATTGGGGAAGGGACAGATGGAAGTGGATGGGGTCAATTGGGACATTTGCTGTAGAGCCGCCCTCTACCGTTAATCAAAGCAACATACAAAAATGTGTTTCTTCAGAGCAATTCGCACTGAAATGTTCATGAATTTTCATGAGGATTAGTTTAATTGAAATTCGCAGTGCTCCGGAAATGTGGAGAACTGCATTTAAGCATGGAAAATGAGAAACTGAGATGACCAACACTGACAGATTTGTCCATCCTTAACGCAATATAAAACTGAATACTAGACGTCTCCCCAAGTTTCTTCCACCAGTTTCTTTGGGGAATTTTAATAAGGAAAATCAGAGGAAGGGAAGGGTTAAGCCTCCCTGCACTGTAGGCCTCAACCAATTTAGAATGCTCTGTAGCTACTACTGTGGTACCTCGGGTTACAAACACATCGGGTTACAAACACTTCAGGTTACAGACTCCGCTAACCCGGAAGTAGTACCTCGGGTTAAGAACTTTGCTTCAGGATGAGAACGGAAATCGTGCCGCAGCAGTGGAAGGCCCCATTAGCTAAAGTGGTACCTCAGGTTAAGAATGGTTTCAGGTTAAGAATGGACCTCCAGAACAAATGAAGTTTGTAACTAGAGGTACCACTGTATTACTATTTCTTTTATGCTGCAGGAGATCTTGATCATATTATCTCCCATGTCATATCTAGCTCTGCCCTCACTATAAGTCTTGTCAAAAGAACCCCAATCTCTCACACATACACACCAAAAGACGAAAACAGCTAAAATGATTGAACCTCCATCACCAAGTGAAAGGTTGTAAATAATAAATACACAGGGCAATGATGTTTAAATTCAAGATACTGTGACTCTAATTAGCAGGAAAATCCATTGTAGTTCTTTATGTAACCAAAGCAAAGGAGAAGAAATAATATACCAAAGGTGGTTCAAAGTCTCTAAAAACCCCGAGCCAAGGAAGGAAGGAAAGAAAAATATAAGCAGTTGAGTTAAAACTTTGTTGTCAGGAAGGCTTTGCACTGCAAGGATGAAATTGGTTGCTATCAGGGATTTGCAGACTGAAACAAGCCTTTCAAGTAAGTTAACTGTAGAAATTAGAATCACACCAAAGCAGAGGCTCCTTAACACTGAAGTTTTAGCAAACTTAAACAAAAACCAAGACCTCAAAGGTTTGTAGAGAACGATACATTTAAGAAACAGAAGCAATCTCCAAGACCAATGCTGTATCTTTCCAGCAATGACTCACTCACATGCAATGCTCTCTTTTTTCAACTATTTTCCAAACTGGAGAGATTGCGATACTCGTACAGCCTTTCACCTTCATAATGTTTATGAAGGCTTTGCATCCATAAATAATAATAAAATAAGCTGTTAAGATGTTTTCTGTGAGGAGTGATTCCATAACCCAATGGTTCTTCCTCATTTCACATCATCTTCCTCTCTGATGGGCATCAGTTTGACCTTGAAATTTGTCAAGCTAAGAAAATCGCCTAGAGCTAAGAGACACAAACACTCACCTTCCTGTTCTGGTTTAAAATGTGGATTCCAATACATTGCACAGCTGGAATCAAAATGTTTTCAGCAACCTGGAAATGGGGTTCCTGATTCTTTATTACGATAAACTCTTTTCTGACCTCTGCTTAAATTAGTTCACTGAAAGCTTTGAATAAGGCTAGGCTTCTAAAATAGAATATCCGATTATTTACTTTTTGTTTCAAATGCAAAGGCAGATCCTGCTGAGCTATATTTAGCTTTTGTAATCTGCCCAAAGTTTTTGAGTATTCAAGTTATGTTAAGGAAAAACATGTTTCAGACTATTTTAAATAATTTTGATGTGTTTGAGAGTAATAATGTGTATAAAAGTCTACCTACTGGAAGAAACTACTTTAGAAGATGATTAGTTTCATATTTTTAGAATGTGCTACATAATTATGTAGAATCTTTTTATTTCCTAGTCTTGTCTTTTAAAAATATTTGCCATATTCAACATAATCTGCAACATTCGTAGTTTTGATGTATTTTTCAAGACGTTTAGGATTAATGCACATTATGAAGAAATTCCATGCCTCCCTCATTATTTTGGAATACTAAAAACTAGAGATTCTCTCTTCAGTTATCTAATGTGGTACATTTTTGTTCAAACAGATTTCATTCAGAGAATCAGAGAAGCCCCTTGGCTCTTAGTAGCCATTGTTCAGGATTATTTATTTTCACAAAAATACTTTGTTCAGAAATATTATTTGATAAAAGCGATTTCCAGAATAGTAATGCAATAAAATGCAGGTGACATAACACTTTTTAACGTGAAGCCAATTATTCACAGGATTGCTGCAAAAGGCAGAAGGAGCAACTATGTGAAAAATTTGATTATCTGTACTCAATACTGGAAGAAAGAAAAAGCGAGATGACACAAATAATCACGAGGAGCCAAGAAGAGAAACTGGAACATGTCCGGTCTCTGATAAAAAAGTATGCCGACCATTTGGAGACAGTGTCAAAACTAGTGGAATCAGGCATCCAGTTTATGGAAGAGCCAGAAATGGCCGTTTTCTTACAGGTATGGAGCTTCGAAAAAACCAGGAGGACATAGGGTCTTGCTAACCTTTCCTATGTTGTTATCTGTGCAATTCTAGTGACTGTTCATACACGTATGGCCCTCATCTTACCATTGACAAGAAACAGTTGTTTTAGTATCTCTGGCACACAATGCATCCAGGAAAACAGAAGCTATTGTGAAATGTAATGTAAGGCAGGGTATAGGGAATAATCTTGATAAAGTCTCCAGAAAGCAGCAACATGTTTTGGGCACTGTGACATCACAGTGAGTCTATGTAATTTGCACTTTTAAAAATATTTTGATAGCCCCACATATTATTAATGGAAGTTCTGGCCTAAAGCACAGGGTGAGGTCCAACGGACACTCCCCCCTTTTTTAAAAAGAGAAAAATCACGGCTCCTACATCAGAAGATAATAATGACTGCCTTATTTCAGAAGATGACAGCTCTGCAAAGAGATGCAAGTACACTGTTTCATATGTTTGCGGTTTTGAGCTGGGAACTTCCACCTACACTATTCTATTCATAGATCTCGTAGATGAAGTCAGGGCTGGGTTAACCGTTATGTTAAGTTCCGCTTAAAGCTCAGAGCCCCGGGTAAATTGAGTCAGTTTATGTGGTATAATTATCTTGGAGTTCCCCAGTGTGAAAAGTGTACCTGTCCTGTTCCTTTATAATATCCCCCTTATCAGCTTATAACTGATGATTATCTCACTCATTACTTGACAGTGAAGCAGTGGCAATATTCACAGCTGCAGGGAAATTGAGAACATTAGTAGTCTGCTGCTGCTTAGCCTGAGGAACAGAATGACGATGCTTTCTGTATTGAGGAAAATGTTCAGTATGGCATGTAGCAGACAGATACAGCAGCCCATTGCCTCCATGTGTCTGCCTGTGTAAGTGCATGCATAGATATCTGCCTGTGCGCAAGTAGTTGTAAAGATGTACCTTATGGGTCAAAACATGGGGGGTGGGAAGCTCCTCTTTTGTCAAGGCCCATGTGAAATTCCTAATCATGGTGAAAAGTCCAACTCCTGCATTTGTTAAGCATACATTCTAGAACTCCCTATAAAAATGAACTTGTAATGTGTATGGTACAGCTCTGTTGCTGTCTGGTGGTCATGTTGAAGATGGGAGGGGGTGGTTTAGTGGCAGCTTTTAAAAAATTGCGAATTTAGTGCATGGCAGTTTTAAGCTATTGATCCTCACTGTTTTCCTATGAAATTCAGATTGCATTTCAAATTGCTTTATTTTTCCTTGTTATATTCGCCTTGAGGCCGTTTTGGCCTAAGGCAATTAATAAATAAAGATATAATAATAAATTTACCTTAAAGTAAGAAGAATTTAAGAAGTAACTCATTCCATTGGTTTTATCTTGTTTTTCACAGAATGCCAAAGCATTGCTACAAAAGTAAGTTCTCCCCTTTTGAACAAACCTGTGTATTTTTCACAAATATCACAACACCAATTTTAAAAATGTTCCTTTGCAATCTCTAATGCAAATGACACAATATTTCTGTTTTAGAATTACTGAAGCTTCTAGAGCATTTCAGATGGAAAAAATAGAGAATGGCTATGAAATTATGAGCCAATTCACTGTCAATCTCAACAGAGAAGAAAAGATAATAAGAGAAATTGACTTTTACAGAGGTATGTGCTTTCTTTCCTTTTCTTTGAACCCATTTGCTTTGTTTTTAACCATGAAGGTGCACAATTTTTGTGAAGACATCCTGTCAGGAATATGGCAGTGAGGCCTGTTTGACATTTCACAAATGTAACAAGGCCGTTTCCCATGCCTCATAATCAAAAGTAAACTCTCATGGAAACTAACACAGCACACTGAAAATATAATTTTTCTTTAATAGAATCTGGGGCTTTGGTCCTTCGTGATGTACATAACCATTTTTTATTTTTTTTTGAGAGTCAAACATCCTCTCTGCCACTAATGTTATTAACCTCTGTCTGGCCTGTTTATATGACTAGGCAGAACCACAGCTTACCAAATAGTGATGCACGGGAGAACATTTCCTTGAATAACGGTGCTCATATAACGTGACAAGAGAATGGGGGCTTACTGGTATGTACGTGCACATGCCAGAAGGACTTAATTGTCCACAGTGTTATTCTGCCAGTAATATTAACTCACCAGGGTAATTGTGTAAATGCAAGAAAAATTAATGTGTGTTTCCATGACTGTTGCCAAGGAAATATACCAGTACTTATGGTATGCGTTTGTATACCAAAGCTGGAAGACCCTATTGTCACTTCAATCAATATTTGCTGTTGTTGTTGCTTTCAGTCTGCCAATGATACATAACTGATTATGTCTTGTCCCCCTCCCCATTTGTATTGTGTTTCCTTTGCATCAAAATGAATGGGGTGGAATAATAGAATGTTAAAGCAATTTATGCAATTAATTACATATATTGCGTATGTTATGTAACTTTGCCAAGGTGGACATTGAGAAGAATAATGTAGTTTTTGGTGCCGCAGAATGGAAGCAGCCTTGCATGCAAAGAACACAGGCCAAGATGGATTACACTGCCTTCTTACATCCCTAGAATTAATAGCTTCTTTGTTGCCATCTTGAAATATTTCTAGCATCATACATTTCCTTAGGTAGTTCTTTATAAACTGTGATCTTGAAATAAACATTCAGCACCTTTTGTGCTTTTACTGGGATGATTACCATAAATATGAAGTTGAATGCTATGTCTGTGTTTGGATGATGAGTTAAGCCAAAAAATATACAATGAATGAGCAATGTGATAGTACAACACTGCTCTGACTGCACTCCTTCCCTACTGCAAGCAACAGACTGGGAACCTTGGTTTACTGTGGCGGCAACATTGTTCATGGATTGTTTTTCTCCAAACAAACCACAATTTGAAATCAAGCTTTCAACCAGGCTTCATAATCATAGTTTGCTTGAGAGCTGCTGCTGTTAGGATGTTTGCTGTTCTTCCCAGGTCCCGTATCAAACAGGAGTTGTACCAATGTCACAGATAGTTCATGAAGGGTATCTTTTATATCAGACCTTATGCTATTTGCACTGATGCCATGATACAGAAAATAAATCATGTAACAAGTCCAGACTACCACCCATCGTTACATCCCCTTTGTGTTACATTAGAGGAGGAGGAGGACAATGAGGAGGAGGATGTGGCTGAAGCGGAAGAATTGGATGAAGTCCAGACAGAATCCTCTGGTGAGGAAGAAGCATCTGAGCAGGTATCTCAGCAACCTCAGCAGGCCACTGAGATGCCAAAGGATACACTCGCTGTCTCTCAGACTAATGCAGCACCATCATTGCCACCTCCACCATCAGTTACTGCTGCCTCTCCTGTTAATCAGGTAACTATTTGGAGGAGTTATTGTCCTATCTACTGTGTGTTAGATGTTTTCTTCCTATTCTAGTCCCAGCCTGCTACTGATCAAAGTGTGAAGAAGTCATCAGGATGTTTCCAATGGTGGCTTTGTGGTTTTCACTAGTAGAAAGAACTTCCTCTAGCACTCAGTTTTTGCCAATCTGCCCCATTCATTGCAACCTCCCGTGCCCCATGAAAATCTGTTCCTGAGTCCCGAGGGACCCCAGGAACAGAATGTGATATGGCACAGAGGTGTGCAGTAGGTTGTGGGGAAGGAATCAGCAAAGATTGGATGCTTCACCTTGTGTAAGTGGAAATGCTTTCTCCTAGCACAGAGCTGCCATTGAGTGCAACCTGTAGTTTCTTAGTTGCAGACTGAATGTCAATTGTCATAAATAAATGAAAAGCAATAGTAAAGCTAATAATAATAATAATAATAATAATAATAATAATAATATGGCCCACTTTCCCACTGCCAGTTCTGATACTGAAAGCAAGCATAGCTAGAAGGAGGAACTGTTGGGGGTGGGGATGTGGCAGGTGGAAAAGGGTTCTGATCCCCTCCCCATGTGCCCCTACAAATAAGCAAATGCAATTTAGTCAGATTTAGAAGTGTTGGAGATTAGTGCTCTTTAAACTATATGTGTAGCACTTCCTTCCCCAACATGGTGCCCTCCAGATGTTCATCCAGATGTTCTGGATTACAATTTCCATCAGCCCCAGCCTGCATGGCCGATGGTCAAGGATGCTGGGAGTTGAAGTCCAAAACATTTAAAGGGCACCAGGTTGGAGAAGGCTGGTACAGCAGAACAAACTCTTGAGACTAGTATTGGCAGCAAATATGCAATTTAAATGAATGAAAATTGCACCTATCTGAATATCTGAATATGTTTTGCAATACACATTAATGTCTTCTTATGAGAATATATAGGATGAGCAATCCTAACAGAAATCTAATGTATAGCCATGGAACCTTAAGACTGCAAGTCATTGAAAGACATCCCTAGATATCCCACGTACATACCTATACGATCTCCTTCTTCTGGGCATTCCACATAGTTATTTCTCCACAGAAATGGTTCTGTGGTTTTCAGTTTTATAAAGCTATCAGTACAAATCAAGACGATGTGATGTGTGATGTGATTGTGTGATGTGACAGTGTGATGTGGGTGCGATTAGCTAAGTGCTCAAATTACAGAGGGCTGAAAGAGTCAGGCCCCATTACCTTTGCTGACAGCTCCTGTACTTAGAAGACTATGGGGGCATGATTTCACTATAGTTGGGAGAAGTCAGGGAGAGAGGGGGTTGTGGGTTTCATTAAGAGTCCCGCCCCAAGCTTTCCCTCCACAACTCAAGTATTGGATGAATGCAACCACTTAATCAGGTCATCAGAAGCACTTTCAAATATAGTTACATGTGGAAAGGAATGGCATCACTTGTTGCTCACGTTACCACTTTTTATGGGGATGAAATTAGAAAGGGTTGTTTGACTGCAACTGGCAAGCCTAAAACTTAATCACAAATGCAACAAATCGAAAGACTTATTTTAATGCTATTCCGAAGAAAGCTTGATGTGGCAAGCAGCACCTATTTCTGAGTGAGTGAGCGAGTGAGTGAGTGAGTGAGTGAGTGAAAGAGAGATTATGTAAAGTTCCGTTCTTTATTTTAACTTTATTTTCTTTAAATCTGCCTTGCTAAGGGTGGCGTTGTGCTGACAACTACCCAACAGTCCGGAGGACTAATAGAAGCTGAACCACAATCAAGTGGAGAGCCAACTGATCCCTTGTTTTATCCTAGCTGGTATAAAACTCAGCCACGGCAAACAACCAATTCAAATGCAGTCCCAGTGACTGAAATTAGGCAGGTAGGGCCTTCAGTTCCCGCAGAGGCGAATGTGAAGAAGGCAGAAGCTCCAGAACTAGCTATGGCAAATGGAACTTCTGCTGCAAGTAGTAAGGAAGCTAACACACCCACTGATACTTCACAGGTTAGTATATAGCCTCAGAAAATGTTGCGTTCAGTTAGGATTTTATATGCAACATAATACGCAGGAGATGGGGGAAATTCGTAGGAAAGTGGATTTCTCAATAAATCACTTTGCTAAATGAAACCCACAGTTTAGGCGCAAGTAGTATTGTAAATTAGTGCATCCTATATTTGGTGGGGGGAGAGTGGAAATGACACAGAATACAATGTTTATTTTGTGCACTGTGTACTGGCTTTGAGACCTGGTTTAGTGGTAGCCAACACAGTGTCCTTCCGATATTGTTGGACAATTCCCAATGCTGGATGGAGCTGATGAGAGTTGGAGTCCAATGATGTCTGGAAGACACCTGGTTGCCTGCCCCTGACCTAATCAGTCACTATGGAATGGTTTGATGCATGTTAGTTTCCTCCCCCAAGATACACCTTCAGCAGACAAGTTGTAATTTTCTTCTGAATTTTGCTCTCACAAGGTGATTCACATCACAGAAACATAAATATAAACACCCACCAAACACCTGTCTAACAATCTGCTCCAGATTTTGGGAGGCTCTTGGCAGTATCTATCCTGTGTTTGCCTTCTTGCTGCTATCATGACTGCCCATGTGTGTGCCTATGGGCCTAAGCTGCCCAGAGGTTAAGAGCAAACCCAACAGAGGCTACTACTCTCGGTTCTTGTCACTGCTTGCATACTTGTAGAGGACATGTGAGCAAGCAGCAGCAAGAAGAAGGAGCAAGGCCAAAGGCCTTTGGCTCAGCAATGGGCCTCCCGCTGAGTTGTTGGCCTTGGCAGATGCCCGATGGTGCTGCACCCTGAAACTGGCCTTGCTAGTTGCAGCCAACTTGAAACAGGTGTGCATATAATTACTCGAAAGTGACCTTGGAAGAGATGTTAGCACGTGGATATTAAGATACATGACTGCAATCCAAAGAATGTGCAAGTAGTTTTATGTGCTCAACAGGGCTCTGGACTTGGATTTCTTTAACATCAGCGTCTCAGCCAGCCCTCTCCCTGTAAAAGGGGGGGGGGGAATGCTGCACAGAAAATAAGTTTGAAAATGCAGAAGAGTTTCAAAATCAATTTGGGATAAGACATGGGGTGCACTGCACACAAGCTTTCGAACAAAGTAATGCTTTGGATCCTGTCTCATGTCAACAAAAACTAGTTTTGGAAACAGTTCTTAGTTGGTCATGTACAAGGTCAATTAAGAGCTGAAAGCATTTAATTGACCAGAATTTCATGCATGCAAATTCCAAAATAGCAACAGACAACTCTGTTGGTCTTTGTCCCTCTGTGTACACATCAGGCTGATAATGTAATTTTGCAGCTGCTGAATATACAGCATTTGCTTCTAATTACAACCACATCAATCACACATCTGGAATATATTGTCATAGCTTAACCTCTTCTGTATGTACACTGTTTGATCTGCAACCACATCAGGTATCTTTTTTATCACTGTCATGAAAAGCATGGCGTGTTTAAAATTAATTTTGCATCGTCAATAACTTCTCCCATGTATTTTTCCTATTGTGTCTGTGCTATGGTCAGAACACAGTGCAATACGATAAAGTTACTTCCATAGAAGCTGCAATCCTATAAACATGCCTACCTGGGAGTAAGTCACATTGAACTCAGCATGGCTTGCACCTGGTAGACTTTAATAGGATTGCCCTGTAAATCACCACTGTTGCAATTTCAGTAAAATTGCAGGGTTGGTGTCTGATATCTTTTACACTTATGATGTACTGAAATCCTTGTTTATTAAAATAATTGGAAATTATGCTACAAAGAGACGCGGGTGGCGCTGTGGGTAAAAGCCTCAGCACCTAGGGCTTGCCGATCGAAAGGTTGGCGGTTCGAATCCCCGCGGCGGGGTGTGCTCCCGCTGCTCGGTCCCAGCACCTGCCAACCTAGCAGTTCGAAAGCACCCCCGGGTGCAAGTAGATAAATAGGGACCGCTTACTGGCGGGAAGGTAAACGGCGTTTCCGTGTGCTGCGCTGGCTCGCCAGAGCAGCGATGTCACGCTGGCCACGTGACCCGGAAGTGTCTCTGGACAGCGCTGGCCCCCGGCCTCTTGAGTGAGATGGGCGCACAACCCCAGAGTCTGTCAAGACTGGCCCGTACGGGCAGGGGTACCTTTACCTTTACCTTTATGCTACAAAACCAAGATTCCATTGTTGTGTTAAGATCTCCCCCACCCCCTCAAATTTGCTTGTGAAAATCTATCATGTTCTTCAATGAAAGGCTCAAGAAAATGGTATGAATGCCACACACACAAACAGTATGCCTAATGCATATGAACTCAACCTTGCATGTGTGAATGTCTTGAAACCTACAGTTTTAAAATATCCACTAACTTTTAACATAAGCATTTCAGAATACCTTTTGTCATTTTATCCCTTATAGACACATTACAGAAAAGTACATAATAGACCTTTCTCTGAATCCCATGCATTTGTGTGTTGTGGATTGTGATACGACTGAGCTGTGTAAGCAGCTGTCAGAGGTGAGCCAGGAGCTGAGAACCAGGAGTTGAGTCAGGTGTTTAGAGCTGAGGACCACCCAAAAACATGACAGAGCCAGCCCAAACAGGAAGATTTTTATTCTCCTTCCTGTCCATTATGACCAATGACCAACTTGAGTGGGTGGGTTCAGCGCAGAGCCTAAGAATGTGCCTATTTATGCACTGGGTATATTCTGGGGAATAGTCACACTTTAACTCATCTTTTGCAGGACATCTTCCTGTGGTCATGAAATAAACAATTTCTCCCCCACCCCCTTTTCTCAGAAAATTCTGCTTTTTTTAATTCAGTGTCATACTTGTACAATCTCCCCTATCCCTCTGCTATTCTGACTGGTCATGGGCTGTATACATATTTTCTAGACTCTACTCATTGCATTCTCTATGGTTAGACTTCTCTGGGAATTGATAACATTTCAACCCTTTCCTTTCCAGATAGTTTTGCCTTTATAGCCTTTTATCTTCTTCCCCTGCCCCTCCAAACTGCAGCAGGCAAGGGGTTCATGAAGTAAGGCGGGAGAGAGTATTTAACCCACTTAGCTACAGGGTGTTAGAAGCCGCATTGCTATTTCACTTCCCACTTAAAGCAGAGCAACAATGATTGGGTGCTGCTAAATTGTCCGCGCTTTGAGGCACTGCCAGAATGATGCTCCAAGCTGCAGCTCTGATAGAACATCATATGGGATGGACATACCAGAACTGAAGGCTCCTGGTTCTAGCCATGGCAGCTCCTGACAGATGGATGCCTTTAAACAACTGTTTTTTAAAGAGCAATAACAATAGGAATGTGTAAAGGAATAGGGGAAGGAATAAGAACAGACAGTCAGGAGCAACAGCACTGCTCAGCTTTAATGCTAAACAAAAGGAAAACATGAGAAGAGAATATGGGAGAAGACCTGGCATGACCATAGGGCTGGTTGGGAGAAAGAATACAAGGTGGGGCCAGGAAATGATAGCAGGGAAGTGTCACAGCAGTAACAGAAGACATATCTACGCCACTGGTATAAACTGATTTGATTGCTATTCCTTCTCTTCAGGCAATCATGAGACAGGCTTGGTTCCAAGGTTCAGTGAGTCCTTTGCTGGGCTCACTCCTGTGGATGCAGTCACAGCCAGGCAGCTGTGTCTGAGCTACCATTTTAATTTCTCAAAATGCCTAGATACAATGTCAGTAATGGCAGTTCAGTTGTGTAACCACACAGCATATGGAGCCCAATATTAGCCTCAGCGCAGTAGTGGGTCTGCCAGGGCACCGGGGGCCCCAGCAGCAGCTGTCCAAAGCTGATGCTGGACCTGCCTTGAGATCTGTAGTTCAAAGGAGCAGGGAATTTTCCCAACCTTCACCAGACTGTAATTCCCAGGGAAGTCATGATGATTAAGCTGGTATAGAATAATACATGTTTATGATGCCCTGTATTATTTTGTTTAATTGTTAATTAAATAAACTCTCCCAGCTTTCCTCTCAAAGGGGTAGTTCAGGCACCATAGGAAGAAAGTTTCTAGCAAGTGCATTAGTTGTGAATTATGCCTGCCTGATATTTTACTGGTGCATGTGCTTCTTATGAGGACCAATCTAGCACAAAGTTGAGTTTACGCGAATTTTGAACCTACCCTGGGTGTTCTCATCATAACCACCCTTTTTTAAAAAGAAAAAGAAAAAAGAAACACAGAGACAACTGGGGGCGGGGGACAGAAAATGGAATGTCTTCTTCTTCACCAAACTTCACCAAATGAGCAATTTTCTCTGATGACGTTAGTGAAGTATTCTTCTTATTTCCTCACAGGGATTAGCATTCTGCCTCTCAGTTTTGGCTTTTCTTATCTTACTGCACCATCTCTGGAGTCAGATTCAGTACATGCTTTTTACTTTGAGGGGTAGGAACTGTTTTGTTTTATCTTTAACTAACAGCACAAGTCATTTCTGTAGTCATGCCTGCAGGTGGTTAGAACCAACCGTCCCATTCTTTTCATCCTAAAAGGACCATGCTGTCATGCCATACATGCTGCCTAAAGCTTTTCCTCTTTATCTCCCCTCCCTCTGAAATGTTACCCTGGAGTGTCATCCTGCATGGTGAAATATGAGACCTTTTTAGAAGAAGAGATAGATAGGAAATCCCCAATTAATCCCATGGATGGTGTATATCAGATATTAGGCAGTCCTGACATCATTGAAAACTGTAGATGTAACAACCCGTGGTTTCTTTTGCTGCACACATTAGTAGCCTTGAGGGTTCACCCCAAAGATGTGTATGTGTATCACTTTGAGTCTGAGGGAAAGGCTGTGAGGGAGGGATGCTGTTTGTGCTTTTGTATAGTGCTGTGCTAAAAGATTCTTCTGGGGGGGGGTAAAAAAAAACTTTGTCAAGGAAATAGAAAAGAAATTACATTAAAAATAATCCAAGGGGAGAGAAAATTTCAGTGAAATTGTCAGGGCTGGGCTGCAGGGTTTTTGATCTGCTTACTTTCAAGGTAGCTGAA